GTGAAAATATGAGACACTTCTTTGTGGGAGTGGAGCCGTTTGGGGTATACTCGCTAAGTCAATCAGCCAGGAGATCCTGAATTAATTTGCAAAGAGCCAATGTGCCGTCACTTAGCCAAAAAAAAAAAAAAAAAAAAAAAAAATTCAAACAAGTGTTGGTACCTGTTTTGTATGAAGAAAAACACTGTAGTCCCACGAATTAAAATGGCTGTTGCACTGGAATGAGCCACGCGGTTGGTTCTGTTTCTTAATATTAGGTTAGCTTTAGGCTTGCATCTTACGGAAAGGAGTCAGACTAACAGTTTACCATCCATTCATTACTATGTGCAATGAGTATTTTGCATACCAGAAGACCAAAATGTAACCGATTCTGGTCTCTTCAAGAGCTGAAGACATTTTACAGCCGCTAACAAAGCATCCTTTGAGTCCACCTAGTAGCCCAGGAGGGCATGCACCACTCGATTACAGTTAAGAGCTCCTTTGCCCTCTTGGGAAAATGTAAGTTCAGTCCTCAAAAAAATATGCAACAACTGCGCCTATAGATTGATGCTTGAGAAGTACAGTTTACCAGGTTTCTCCTTTTCAAGATGCTCAAGAGATCAGACTATGAAATTTTAAAATATTAAGTGAAGGCAAAAATGGATTATAGTTGTCACAATTTTTAATGTTTATTTTTGAGAGGGAGACAGCATGAGTGAGGGAGGGGCAGAGGAAGGAGGAGACACAGAATCTGAAACAGGCTCCAGGCCCTGAGCTGTCAGCACAGAGCCCAACCAGGGGCTCAAAACTCGAGAACCGCGAGATCACGACCTGAGCTGAGGTCGGACGCTTAACTGACTGAGCCACCCAGGTGCTCCTGTCATATTTCTAATTAATATCCCTACGCTCTGTACAATTTGTTACCCTTTCCTCTGCTTCCAAGTTCAACACAAAAGAGTTTTTTTGTTTTTTAAGTAGGCTTCACACCCAGGCTGGAGCCCAACCCCAAGAAGCCACTCAGGGGTCCCCAACAGAAAGGAGGTCTTACACAAGAAACTCGTCTGTGACTATTCTGCTGTCTGCTTGCACTTCCAAGGAACCACTTACAATCGGGACCAGGTTCCTAATCCAAACTAGTGTCAACACATCGTGTTCCCCAGAACACAGCATTAGCTGGGTAACACCACTGACTTCATCACTGTTAGCTCATGACCACCATCTACCAAGTACATATCGTGCTGTATACTACAGTAAGAACCCGTGTATACCTGATCTCTCGTTTAATAAGCACACAACCCTACAAGAAAGCTGTGCCCATTTTATAGAGGGGAACTCTAAGAAAGAAAAGTTAGGGGACTGGTCCCCAAGTCTCAGCTAATAACTTGCAGGCCCACTATTCAACCCGGTTCTAATCCCAAAGCCCTGTGGCCATTCTACCTTCAGGAGAATTAGGAACATTTTTTTTTTTTCTTTTTGATGCCCGTAATGCATTCTAACTCTAAATCTAAGCTTTTAAAATTTTTACTGGATTTTTTTTTTATGCCTCTGCTGCCTCTCCTATCAAGGACAGACCTTACTATTCTCAATTCTGGCCACATTAAAAAGCACAAAGGCAGGGCTCCTGGGTGGCTCAGTTGGTTAAGCATCCGACTTCAGCTCAGGTCATGATCTGGCAGTTTGTGGGTTCGAGCCCCACGTCGGGCTCTGTGCTCACAGCTCAGAGCCTAGAGCCTGCTTCAAATTCTGTGTCTCCCTCCCTGCCCCTCCCTTAGCTCATGCTCTGTCTCTCCTTCAAAAACAAAAGCAAAAAAAGAACACAATGGCAGTGAAAACAAAGCTAAATGCACGAGAGCTGGTCCAAGACAGTGTGATTTAGACCACGGTTGCCTTTGGTGCCCTCATCCCTGTTTGATCACCCTCTCCTCTCTTTCTCCAACTCCTTTAGCCCCTGACAACCTGCACTCAAGTTACACCTGAGAGCTCTGCCTGCTGGGAACTTTCACCTCCGAGCAACCCTATTACCCCAAATGATCTTTAGAGCAAAGACTTCTAAATCCCGAAGAATATTTTAGGGGTTACTTTTAACCAAAGCTTCCATTTCTAACTGCTTTGCAAGTCTTGCTCATTTTAAAATATCCAGCTATGTGGTATATCATTACACAAATAGCATGCTTCCTTAAAAAAGAAAAAAAAACAAGAATTAGACAGGGGCACCTGGGTAGCTCAGTCGGTTAGGTGTCCGACTTCAGCTCAGGTCATTATCTCATGGTTCACAGGTTTGAGCCCTGCATCAGGCTCCGCACTGATGGCACAGAGCCTGCATAGGATTCTCTCCCCCTCTTTTTGCCCCTTCCGGGCACTCACTCTCTCAAAATTTGTACAAGAAATTAGAGAAAATGAAGAAAAGAAGTCCTCCATCATCTCATCACGTATCACCATCAGCTGTCAGGTTTACCTCCAGCTTTTTAGTTACTAATGACAGTGTGACTACTATGTATTATAAATGGCAGAGTATTTTTATGAGCAGTTTCCCAAATTCATTCTAAGCAGGGACTTGACAATTTGTCAACTGCATGTATATACAATACTAATGACTGAATCATTTCCCCCAAAGCTGGACATAAAAGATGTTTTGGTTTTGCTATTCAAAGGAAACCAGCAATGGGCAAGTGGGCAAACATCTTCCCTAAGATATCCCTAAGATATCCGACTCCCCACCTGAATCAGACCATGAAAGGACTCCAAATGATCAAGGTGACTATGGTAATAGTGATGGCACCATTTCAGACCAAGTTCAGAGAAGGACACAACCAACAGATGCAGACTTACTGGTGAGAATTCAAGATGTGGCAGCAGGACATCAGGAACTCCATCACTACCAGACCCCAAGTCACAGCCCTTAACTCCAAAAATCCCAGAAATTTACTGCTTAAACAGGCAGCATTTCACCACCTCCCCCTTCATTAGCACCTTCTCTAGGCTTCCATTAGCACCTGCAGCAAGGTTTTTGAAAGGATCTGGGTTGGCCGTCTGCTTAGGAGATCGATCTCCATTTTAATGTAGCCCTCCCTGCATATAAACTGAAGAGAGGGTGCAGGGTGTGTTCAACAAGAAAATCTGACCTGGAGGAATTGAGAGTGGTTAGCAAGTATTGTGAAACGTGCCTAGTTCCAATTAATCAGAAAATACCACATGCCAAAGAAGATTATTCTAATGGTCACTGCTTTCTCCCCCTCTGGTAAGTAGGGTTCATAGCAGGTTGGTAAAATGTAAACATGTATAAGAAGGCAAGCCTCCTGTCGCTATGATGCTGAAAAGCAGAAATGTGTAATCAGCGAGGACAATAAAAATTCTGTCTCTCCCCTGAGGACACTGGAAAATAAAAGATTGCAAAAAAAAAAAAGCAAAAGCATAAATGAAGATTCTGGTGTAGGGTCCTTCTTTTGCAGAGGACAATACTAGTACTTAAGGTGCAAGGCACTACCTTTTAATAGCTATGGGACATGTTACTAGTATCCTGCTGCTTTCTCAGCTGGAGAAATAGGATTAGTGGCCTAAGAGAGAAGAGCTTAAACTGATTAGTCAAGTGGGCAGTCCCAGGGTGAAGCAGCAGGAAAAAGGAACAGCCCAGTGTTCTGGGTCCTGCAGAGTAAGAACCTGGAGGGATTCAAGGGCCGTCCAGGACTCGAGACTGCAATTTACTCCAAGAGGGGTTTTAACCTTCCATCTTCAAGCTGGGCTCCACATCAGAGGCCAGACTTGGGTTGGCTTGAACACCATTTATGATGTATTTAGACTGCAGAAAGGAGTTTCAGAATGGCCACCGTGTATTTATTCATTCACTTATTCAACCCACAGGGTCTACGAAGCAAGCATATCAGGTGTTGTGTATACAGGGATACAGAACCGGAAGGCTGCATGCAAGGAACAGAATTATTCTGCTTAATAAGAACCCTAAATGACAAAGATCCAATTTCTTAAATCCAAGTCTGGATTCAATGGGGGAGGAAGGGACCTTCTAGATCATCATGGACCTACTTTATCTGGAGGAAAACACAAAAAAAAAAAGCCCACCATGAAGTCCAAAGTTGTGTGCTGCCTGAAGAACACATTTAGTTAAGAGACGGTGCTGAGGTCTACAACCCTAGCCAAGAGCTCCTCCCATAAAACAGAAAACACAAATTTTAAAGAACCTGATGCCCAGCATATAAATTTTCAAGATGGAATATAGGACATGTTCACTGGTAATCCTGGTAAAGTACTAAGGGGCTGATCCCAAAAGTTACAAGAGAAAGCAAACTCCCTTTCTGAATCAAATGACCCGGTTCTACCTGTTGTGGAAAGGACAGACACCGATTGTAGAACTGAGCAGGCAGCCCAAATAGGTTACCGAGAGCAATTATAAAAATTACAGTGGAGATTATGATCACAGCAAGCCATCAAAAATGGTTAAGCTTCACCAAAATGTGCAGAAAGACCTGCCTGCACTGTACTTAATGGAAAGGATTTCCAATGTTAAATCTAGCACTTATCTCTTTTAACCAGGGGGTTTTATTAGTTTAATGCAATCCTATCTACCCAGATGTTTAATAGATTTCTCGAGCACGTGGCATAAAAACAAAACTATCTTTGCTGCAACCAGGTAAAGCTGGTGGACCGTGAACAATGATCTTCGACTGAGACGTCTAACATATTAAAACAGATTACTGCAGGGTCCTGAGAGTTATTTCTGAAATAGGAAGTGGCTGGATAAAACGATTTCCTCTCAGAAAACTCAAGAACATCCCTCATGTACCAGTCTCAACCATTTCCCTCCTCCCCCAACTCCTAAAACACAACTCAGGAAACACCACCACCACCCCCAGAGAAGCTTCAAGATGCTCTTTTCTTTCCTGACATTCTTCCCCTTGCATCTTCCCTACGGCTAGCCACGGAAACTACCACTTTGGTAGAAGTGTTTGAACAACACTGCAGCAGAGATGCCTGGGCTGTGTGCCTAACACAAGCCCCGCTCCGAGAATTCCATCTCCCCCACAAGTACAGGCCTCAGGGAGGGGCCAAGTTCACCCCCCCCCCAAAAGCAGCCGTGGGAAGTAACTGGTGATAAAGGAACGGGGGTCATGCCGGACTCCCGTCCCTTGCTCTAAGTTGTACGGCCCTGGGAGTCTGTTTACAGCCTCTGGAGACAACCCCCAGACACTGGGAGCTCACTTGAGGCCTCTAAGCCACATTTACTCTCCAGGCTCCTTCTGAATGGGCAGAATTCACCGGACCATGGTGGGCACCTGACCATTTGGGGTCAAGCTCTTTCTCCCAGGGATTCCAATGGAAATCTGGGTCTGTCAGCATTGGGACTTGGGCACTGGTACCCTCGGGACCTGACGTAAGGCATTTTAGCATCTGTAAGCACAGAAGTAGAGGAAGTCCACTTACTACCCTCAGGGATGAAGCCAATCCAGGGAGGAAAGTGGCAGCCAGTCTTGGCTCCTGGTTCTAAGAGTTTAAATAACTAGAATACAAACTAGGACTTAAATAAAAACATGAAATCCAAAACTTCTAGTAATTTTTTAACCCCAGAGTAGCTTAGAAGACTACTTCTTTATCAACACATACTGAAATTTATTTATTTCCAAGATCAAGGCATTTTCAGTTCTCCAAAGCCCTTTGTCAAGCCAATACGTGGAAGAAGAAATGTTAAGTATCAACAGAATCACGCTCCTTGCCTTAAGTGAGGAGCCAGGAAAATCTGAGAATCCTGGGTGCAGGGTTTTACTTTCAAATCCTCAAATTCGGGACATCTGAGGCTTAATCTACAGACACTGAGGGGGAAGCTCCTTCAGGCTCAGAAGCGAGGGGCACCCAACCGGTGCTGGAGTCCAGGTAACACAGATACTGGCATCCCTACCTCTGCCCGTTTGTTGGCCCACATCCCTCCACAGCCTTGGCCGGGGCGGGGGGGGGGGGGGATAAAATCACAATTGTGCTGGCAATTCCACGGTGTTCCTGGCCAGTGACTCTCCCCGTTCACCCGTCACTGCTGATCTACCTGCCCCCACCCCCTCAAGCCATGTACCAGGCTCAGTCCCAGGCAGGGCCAAGTCCAGGGCTGATTGGGACAGACTGTCCACCTCTGTGTGTTCCAAACGTTTACACTTTGGTAAGTGAGCCAATGGACACACCCACGTATTGCAGTCCGATCAGGTGAGAATCGAAGAGCATATGGTCTACTGCAGGCCTGAAGAGAAAGGAAGCCGTGGGCTCCACACTGGGGGGGGGAGAGAAGGAACCACAACAGATCTCTGGAAACTTGCTCAAGGATGCTCATCTAAACCGCGTGACCATCCGTGAACCAGCCCCCAGCACAAGCACTCAGCCTTCCGAAAGGTAGACAACAGCCATATTAAGTATTTTCACTTCATTTCCTTTTTCTGGGTCAGCAAGGAGGGAAAAACTCACGTCGGTCACCAACCCCTCCCTTGTCTCAAAGGGGACATACACCTGCTGGAGCCCAGAGGGGGCTGGACACTCAACTGGCCACCCCTCCTGTGCGCTCCCTTTCAGATCAGAGATGCACGCTGCCTCCTGGGGATGCGGGTTCTCCCCCCACCCCACCCCCCAGAACCACTACCTGTGAAAAGCCCGTTCTAAAGCAGGGGGGGGGGGGGGGGGCGGGGGCTGTTATCCCAAGTTTGTCTCATCTGTAACCGGACTGAGCTGTAAGCAGACTCCTGCCAGCACCTCAAAGGCCACGGCTCTGAGGACACTGGCCGGAGCTTTAGTTACAATATCTTTTTTCACTGCCCATCACGTGCTCATCCTCTCCCTCCCCTTCCCCCCCCCCACCCCCCATCTACTGGCTCCTAGGGTGGATTTTGTTTTTTAACCTCTGTAACCAAAGAACCTGATAAGGCCATGCGATAAAGGAACGGTGGCCTAAAAACCCTAAGTTTCCAGTTGCAGCAGCTCTATGGCTCATTTTTCATGTTTCACACACATAAGACATTGACAAAGGCCCTAAAAAGAAGAGACACAGGAGGCAGCCAAAGAGATACCTAACACTCAATCAGAGCCGTGCAAGTGAGGAGAGCATTAGGAGTTTTTGGGAGCCAGGCCAAGTGTTTTTCTACCAGAGGAATAATTTAGGGTTGGTGCACAGTCAGCAGCTTGGAGAAGGTACAAGAACACAGGAGCTGGACAACCGGGAGGCCCCGGAAAACCCACTCAGCCCTGCCCAAGTCCACCGGACAGACAAACCCTTCACGGTCAAGACTGTTAAGCAGAGGAGGATTCGTCTCTTCCATCCATCAGGCCAGGAGAATAATTACAAGTAGAACAATAGAAACAAAGGATGTGACAAGGTATCTGGCAACCTCAGTAGAGCCCTGTACTCCAAGACCGGTTTAGCTCAAGCTACTGGTTTCCTCCTACCCTCCCCCGCCACCAAGAAGTCTACAACCCTGCCAGATGCACATGTCTGTTCAGCCTCACAGGACAGCAGCACAAAGCCAGCATCTGCCGGAGTTTTTCCCTTTTTAAAAATACAACTCTCGGGGCACCTGGGTGGCTCAGTCGGTTAAGCGTCCGACTTCGGCTCAGGTCATGATCTCGCGGTTTGTGAGTTCAAGCTCCGTGTCGGGCTCTGTGCTGACAGCTCAGAGCCTGGAGCCCGTTTCAGATTCTGTGTCTCCCGCTCTCTCTGACCCTCCCCCGTTCATGCTCTGTGTCTCAATAAATAAACGTTAAAAAAAAATTTTTTTTTTTAAATACAACTCTCAACAGAAAAACGGTTTTGTCAAACTTTAAAAAGACAAAAATAAGTTCTGTTCTATACCTGCTACCAGAGGCAGGATGTGATTTATTCAAGGGTTTCGAGGATTGTCCACAAGTTACTGGGGACTCTTAGGGTAGGTACGGGGGGGGGGGGGGTCACTTCTGTCCACTTGACCAATGCTCCTTAGAGAGACCACCTCAGCTTTTCACATTTTGTTCGGAGTCTGGTGCAATTTGAACACTCCATTAAGGGAAATTACCGAGGCTCTTAAAGTTACATTCCCAAAGACAGAGTCTATGAAAATGCTCAACCCAACCCTAGATATAGTCCTGTTAAAGGCTACACTCGAAGCCTATTTTGGAGACATGTAATTTTTAACTGTACAGTTTTCGCGGCTTTTCAACTAAGCTGCTGACTAAAGCAGGGAATAATTTTACAACGCCATTATCCACATGTGGATGGTTCATTTGTTAGAGTATCCTAACTTCGGGCTGCCTACCCTCATCTCCGTTGTCCAACCTGCTCCTGGGTCCTATGCCAGCTGCCTGCTGTTGTAGGCTAAAGGTATGCAAACCATTTTTCATGCCAACAGAAATAAGACAGTGACACTGGATGTCCTGAGTGCATTTCTCCAAGATAAATATAAACTGGAGGTTATGTATTGTTGCAGACAATTGATACAACTTCCATTTATTAAGTATGCATGTTCATGTTTTTCCAAACTCGTCAAAGTATGATCCAGAGACTTCCAAGGGTCGAGCAAGATCAAAACGATTATCCTGATACTAACTCATTGTTTCCCTTTTTCGCTAGGATGCCGTTTGCCCTGATGGCGCAGAAGCAAGGACAGGAAGATCGCTGGCCCCTGAGCACGATTCGAGGCAGCAGTTACCGTATTCTGGCACCAGACACTACCTCCATCTCACCATGAAACCCCAGGACCTGCTGCTTAAGGCCAGTTTCATATTTAAGAAGGTCTTGAAACACTAGAGACTCCATGTTGATATTCGATTGGACATACAAAGCACTTTGGCTGCCCTCCGAGGGTGACGGTGGTTCATGTCCCCTCTTTCCATGGGACACCTTTTTTTACTGCAAAGACAGCTACCAACTATGGTTACTCAGACTCAGGTATTTGCCAAGACTTTCTTGAAAATGAACCTGCCACTTGATGGAAAATAACTGCGTTTTTATTGCCAATGAGAAAATTCAAGCTTTCAAGTGAAAAACAGAATTTTAGAAAACTTATCTTCCATGAGCTTGACAGCCCTAATAAAGGTGTTTATAAGATTGATGGTGATATTAACGGGTTTTTTTTTTTTTTGGTATTTCATAATGAAATGTGTCAACACTCAGATCAGGGCTAAATAAAACTATTTTCCAAACAACCAAAGAATGAGGTCACAAAGCCTTTAAAAGAGCTATTCATTATTTAAGACAGACCAGTGGACACAGATATGGTCTTATTTTTTCTCCATTTCTCCTAACCTTTAAAATTTTTGTTTTTGAGAGAGAGAACGAGAGAACGAGAGAACGAGAGAACGAGAGAACGAGAGAACGAGAGAACGAGAGAACGAGAGAACGAGAGAACGAGAGAACGAGAG